TCTTAATATCTAATTCTTGTTCCTCTATTGTGCGCAAGCCCTTACTACGTTTACACGGCACGCTTTGCGCCGAAGTTATAGGCTGCTTTCCATTTGATGACACAAATCGACACAAGTCGACACAAATGTCGTTCTATCTTTCTTGATATTCAGAGAGTGACAAAGATAGAACGACACTTGTGTCGATTTGTGTCGACTGTGTCTTCTAAAAGGAAAGCAGCCATAACATCGATGTTATGAAATTGGCCAATTATAGCTGTTCCTCTGAAGAAGGGAATGACTGTGATTGGCCAGTTTCGTAATATTGATGTTATAACTTCGGCGTAAAGCGTGCCGTGTAAACGTATAGCGTTTTCGGCCCGGCCAGGTTTGCACCAACCTGGGTTGGATTAATGGCGTTTTGTGCTCTCCTATTGGTAGAGCGGGTGACGTCAATCAATAGGAAAGATTAATCCAACCCAGGTTGGTGCAAATCCGATCGGGCCGAAAAACGCTAGTAGTAATTAAAAGGATCCGTTCAAAGTGAACGGAACGTTCATGAACGATATATCTCTACCGTTCTCGTAGTTTGCATGGTAGGTCATATCAATTTTATATGGGGTGATTCCGATTGACCACGGCTTGATTGGATACCACCAATCACAGCGACCGGTGCTTAGGAGCTTTGTAGTCTCAAGCGCTGTGAGTGGCTCGTGTCCAATTGAGCCGTGTCCAACTGAGTGCCACCCGCCGTCTCCCGCGATCCCTCTGTCTCATTATTGTCGATCACATTTGATACACTACTTAGATACGGATCGCGCAGTTTATTCTCTATGTCTTTGGTCGGTTGTTCCACCTTTTAGTAAATTTTATCTGTTAGGTAAATCTGGCAATCCGCGCATGTAATTGGGTAATCTTGCTACTTACCCAACAGCTAAAATTTACCAAAAGGTGGAACAACCGGGCCTATTACTGGATTCACACAGCACCCGATTTGCATCATACGACGCTCTGGAACCAATCAGAAAGCAGGATTTCAATGATACGAAGCAAAATCCATTGGAATCCTGTTTTCTGATTGGTTGCAGAGCGTCGTACGACGCAAATCGGATACAGTGTGAATCCAGCATTAGGAGGGGATACCCAATCAGAATACATATCAGACTACCATTCAGAAACTCGGACATCAATGTTGCTTCTCTCGGGAGGATCCCGTTTCTCTACAGTTCTGATTGTACACACCACTCATATCAACTGGTGCCTAGTAATTTTTCACTGTTTTGCCAATGAGATTATTTTATTTTTAAATTGGCCAATCAGCGATACATGTGTGCAATATACGATGTGTGCAATAGGAGCCCTCCCACTTCTCTCTATATATAGGACTTTAGTGTAAATCAGGCCTATATTACATTGAGTGGTTCATGGGGCAGCGGAACAAAATTTAACCAATCACGAAGTACTTTTATGCTGGATTCACACTGCATCCGATGTGCGTCGTACGACGCTTTGCAACCAATCAGAAAACAGAATTCCG